TTAAAGTCGCTTAGAGTTCAAAAATAGATCAAATTTACAATTTTAAAAATATTTTTAACTTCCAAATTTTCGGTAAAACAATACTTTCAAGAGGAAGCAATGAATAAAGTGAATTTATGGGTATTTAAATCTTCATAGAATAAGTTAAATAAAAAATAAATTAAACCGTTTTTGTCTGTGTTGTGTTGTCCAATTTTTTGCGCAGAGGTTTTTTGGGACGATCCGATTAGCTGGAGGTACTAATGACCACCCTGCCACTCCGACTTTTCTTCAAGTGTATAAAATTTTAACATTTTACAGTGTTCTAAAGCCACCTCCTACAGGAAACTGCAAAATTGATCCTTCGGCACCCACTGAACCCTTACTACCCATATCAAAATTAAAAGAGATTTATAAAAAAGAGAAGAAAAAGGATTTTTTGAAAATAATTGAAGAAAAATTGAATAAGGTGATCGCGCATGAAGACGGTGATTTTTCCGATTTCACAGATGCTGTGGATCACGATTATGATCTACCTTATATAGTAGATTGTTTGATGTACTATATAACGGGACAGATCTGTGAAAGAATTAAAAAAAGAAATTGCGTCAACTGCAATTCAGCTCTGTTCTGTGATGAAAATGCCAATCAGAAAAATCATCCAATTTCAAAAATAATTACTTTCAATCAAGATAATGAGCTTTGTCATCCTAATTTTAAATTATTTTTATTTATAAAATTAATTGAAAATTCGTTTTCCGTTCACTGTAAAAACAGTAACGTTTTTGATCTAGTCATTGATGACATAACTAGAAAAAATGCCTTTTTTATTAATTGCAATGAGCATGGAAAAGAAGTTTTAGCTTTTATTATCCTCTTCTATTTACAAAATAGAATGAGGCAGTTCAGCAAAATTTTCTTAGCAGATGCTAAGAAGCAAAATTTGCAAAAAAAGAAAGCAGCTAAATTAGCTGATGGTTAATTTAATTAACTGTTTCACATTATTGAGATAATATAAATATGAAATATAAAATATTTTATATATAGAGTAAATAAAAAAACATATTAGAAGCTCAATAAAGCTGTAGAATACCTATTTTTAATTTAAAAAATTATTATTATTATTATTATTATGTGTCTTCACCTAATTGCATCTATTCTAATATTTATTTATTTATTATTTTAAAAAATCAAATTCAGATGGTTTCTTTCCTAATAATTTTCGACTTTTTAAATTTTTGTATAAGTTTTTTCATATAATCTCATAGGACAAAGCGGACAAAGTTACTACAAGTGACCTCTGGTGGTCATTTTCAACACATTGGACACATTGCACCATGGTGAAGCATAGATCGTGTCAGCCCCGTGTTTTTACCGAAGGTGTAATGGTACGGTCACAGCTCGGCTGCCTGCCTGCCTGCCTGCAGGTCGTCATGGCAATACATAAGAGTAAGAGAGTCAGACAATTTAAATTATTCGTCTCCTCTCTCTTACTCTCGTGGCGGCTGCCTGCGCAGGCAGGCAGGCAGCCGAGGTGTGACCGTGCCATAAATGCTCCATCATTTAAAAAAATAAAAAGCAATAGGGATCCGAAATCATAGTAAAATCTAGTAAAAATGACCCCGTTGCCTCAGCCATATTGATTTTCTATCTTTTTCTGGAACATATATTTAAAAAGAGACATAACCAAAAATGGCTAACACAATTGCGCACACTGTGTTTACATGAAGGCGCTGACACAGCTCTACTGCCTGCCTGCATGTTGTCATGGTAACACATAAGAGTAAGAGAGTCAAAAAATTTTAATTAAATGTTTTCTGTCTCTTAAGGCGCTTGCACACTTCCAAAATTTTGGGCGAGCAGCGAATTTTCATGGCCTTGAAACTCACATTACTAAATATGATTGGCTCTACAAAAAGCTGCGTGAAAATGTACTTTTGTCAGAGCCAATCATATTTAGTAATGTGCATTTCAAGGCCGTGAAAATTCGCTGCTCGCCTAAAAATTTGGAAGTGTGCAAGCGCCTTTACTCTCGTTGCAGTAGTGTTGTGCGAGTGTCAAAGTTTATCTCACTTTACATCTTCTTACTTTTTCCAAAAACGGAAAACGTAGAGTGAAATAAACTAATGGCACGGTCACTAGTCACAGTTTGGCTGTCTATGCAGGAAGCCGCAACTAGAGCAAGAAAGAGAAAACATAATTATAATTTAAATGTGAGCAGAATACGTCGACCGAAAGCCGAAAATCATGAGTGCAAAAGAGATAGGTAGATATTGTTGTTCTTTTCCATCTCATGATTTTCTGCTTTCGGTTTTAGGCTGAATTCCCATGGCAGCGTTTTGCGTTGCGTTTTGTAACTAGGCCATGAGTGTGAGAGAGATACAGATATAGGTTTGCTCTATTTTCACTCATTGCCTAGTTACAAAACGCAACGCAAAACGCTACCATGGGACTCCAGCCTGAACCATAAACAAATAAAAACACAAGAAATGCTCCGTGCACTTCTACCTAGTCCCTAGGGACTTTACGTAGAACGCAGAACGCAGCGTTCAACGCACGCATGTAACCGCGGCCTGAAGGTGCTTGTACACTTCCAAATTTTTGGGCGAGCAGCGAATTTTCACAGTTGTGAAAACCCACGTCACTAAATATGATTGGCTCTAACAAAAGTTAATTTTCACGCAGCTTTTTGCAGGGCCAATCATATTTAGTGACGTGAAGTTTCACGACCGTGAAAATTCGCTGCGCTAAGGCGGTGTTTACATGCTTGCGTTTGAACGCTGCGTTTTGCGTTGAATAATGAGATAGAGAAAGAAGCACATATATTTCTCTCCTTCTTACACTCACTGCTCAACGCAAAACGCAGCGTTCGAACGCTGGTAGCGTTTTGCGTTGCGTTTTGTAACTAGGCCATGAGTGTGAGAGAGATACAAATATATGTTTGCTCTATTTGCACTCATGGCCTAGTTACAAAACGCAACGCAAAACGGTGCCATGGGACTTGACCCTGAGGCTGAAGTCCCATGGCAGCGTTTTGCGTTGCGTTTTGTAACTAGGCCATGAGTGTGAGAGAGATACAGATATAAGGGTGCAGTCCCATGACAGCGTTTTGCGTTGCGTCGTAATGGGAGAGAAAAAGACGCAAATATACGTTTGCTGCATTCTCTCTTATTACAACGCAACGCAAAACGCTGCCATGGGACTCCAGCCTAAGGTTTGCTCTATTTGCACTCATGGCCTAGTTACAAAACGCAACGCAAAACGCTGCCATGGGACTCCACCCTTACTTTCTTCAAAAACAGAATATGTAGTGTGAGACAAACTTATGCCAATGTCATAGGAGAAAGAAAGAAGAAAATGTTTTTTCTGAAAGTCGTGTGAGCGTACCCTAAGGGAGTAAGATAGAAAAAGATAAAGACTGTCTCTTTTCTTGTCTACACTGTAAAAAATTCTGGTGTATTAAAACATACTGAATGTAATTTTACACAGCAATATTATAGGCTGGACGTAGTAAATTTACTAAGTTTCAAAGTAGTTTTACTATTTTTAATAATTTTACTTTATATGACTATGTAATTTAATAGTTTTGTGTAAATTTACTACGTCCGACGTAGGAAAATTTGATCACTATGTCCAGCATGTTGTATTACACTCGTCTGTTTTTTTACTTTATTCTGTGAATTTACAATGGTCATGTAAAGTTACCACGGATACGTAAATTTACGTTGTATTGCATGTAAGATTACATGCCGCGTGTATTTTTCCTTTAGCGCGGAGTTAAATATATTATATGGATGCTTGCACATGCTCAAAATAAAGTGAACTGCCAACACCGACATTTTGCCTTTTTTGTGTTTTTATTATTAGTATATATATTTTAGTGTTTTCAATTAGTATTATTTAACAGATTACGCATTAGTTAAATTACATGCGGCATGTTTTTGAACAGAACGCTATTTGAAGCAACCCATTTTAACATTGAGCATGTAAAATAACATGCAGGTTATGTCAAATGATCAGCCATTTGTAAAATTACACGCTTGACGTAGTGATTTTCTTTTCCTACGTCGGACGTAGTAAATTTACATGAGAATTTTTTACAGTGTATCTTATTCCTTTATGGCCTAAGGGTCAAGTCCCATGGCATCGTTTTGCGTTGCGTTTTGTAACTAGGCCATGAGTGCAAATAGAGCAAACATATATCTGTATCTCTCTCACACTCATTGCCCAGTTACAAAACGCAACGCAAAACGCTATCATGGGACTCCAGCCTAAGCACAACTGCTTATGTATGAGTTACAAAAGAATAGAGATATATTTGTGTTCTTTTCTATCTCATTCATCTTGTTCGCGAATCTTGTGCTTTGGACTGTAGGGTTCAACGAGGTGCATGAGAACGTTTGTAAAAATAATATAATTTTTAATGTTCATGAAAGTTTATTGTTAAACAGAATGAATAAAAGAGCAACAAGAGTAAGAGAGAAAGTGCATTAAATTTGAATTCAATGACTCTCTTAGGCTGCGGTTACACCTCTGCAGGCAGCCTGCCTGCCTGCAGGTTGTCATGGTAACGTACAAGAGTAAGAGAGTCAGTGACTTCAAACTTCTCCCTTACTCTCGTTGCTCCTGCCTGCGTAAGCAGGCAGCCTGCAGAGGTGTAACCGCAGCCTTACTCTTGCATGTTACCATGACAACCTGTAGGCAGGCTGTCTGCCTAATGAGGTGTAACCGCACCTTTAGGGTGCGACCCCATGTGAGCAGAATACGTCGACCGAAAGTAGAAAATCATGAGAGTGAGAAGAACAACAATATCTACCTGTCTCTTTTGCACTCATGATTTTCTGCTTTCGGTCGACGTATTCTTCACATGGGATCGCATCCTAAGGGAGCGTTCAGACCTTCTCATGCAAAACTTATGCATGCAGGTTGCCATAGTAGCGTTCAAGAGTGAGAGAGAAAGAATAATTTCCTATCTCTCTCACTCTTGAACGCTACCATGGCAACCTGCATTCTCACCCCTGCATCCTGAGTCGACCTCGACTCATCTTTGTGCATATCTGTCAATTTCTGAGTAAACAACAGTTGTTTTATTTTATTTATTAATAAAATTAATAAATAATAATACTTATGCTTCCGCCATATGACCAGTTTTTAGATTGTTTAGTTTGTATAATGAAGATCTAGTGTTTTCGTGAAAATGACAGTAATAAAATAAGAGGAAAATGGAGCAGCTTTTTTCTTTTACAAGTTATTTTGTGTCAGTACCCACTGCAATGAATGCAATAATTATCTAGTAGAAAAATGAGTGCTGGTTCTCAAGGTTCAGCTTCGGAGCACGGTCATGCGGTGGTTGTTTGGGAATGGGAAAATCGACATGGGAGATGGAGGCCCTACAGTCCTGCTGTTTCTCAGCACTTGGAAAGAGCTCACTACAAAAAACTCACGAGGGTCTTCCTCACCGATGCCGATCCGAATCTTGAAGGGTGTGTAATTTTTATTTTTTTCTATTATTTCTTTAATTATTTATTCAACATTTTTTATTTTTAATTTCTATTTTAGTGCATTTTTGTGCTACAAAAGCAAATGTCAAAATATATTAAAACGAATGTAATATACACTATTGTTATAAAAATTGTTGTAGGTATATTAAATTCAGGGTGGCCACTGGACCGGGAAATGACAGTGAATTTTGAACTTGACCGGGATTTTGGAAATTTTTTTTTAAAAACCCTGATTATGTTGTCAGGGTATTTTATTAAAAGTACTATAAAAATATTCAATTTCTAGAATTTATAAGAAAATTATGAATTTTGTTGTCCAATGTAACAGACTTAAAAAAAGAAAATAATCAATTTAATTTTAAATTCTTTCTATTTCTAACAATAATTAAAAAAAATACATATAATTTTAATTAAATTCGTCGAAAAATATTGAAAGAGAAAAAGTTTCACATCCTATAAAATAGTGAAAAATAAATCAATTTATAAATTTTGTTTGTAATAATATTGTAACAAAACTCAAATTCAACAAAACAAAATTCAAATTATAAAAATTTGAACTAATTAGAACAAAAGTGATAAGAAATTTATAAAAATTAATTTTTAAATAATAATAAATAACGTAAATAAAAATAAATAAAACTTCTTTTCTTAGAAAATAAATTTTAAAAAAATCGTATTTTGCATTAATATCAATTCGTTTTTTTTACAATTATTCATAAGCAACTATTTCTATATTTCATAATGTTAAATTAATATTACTAATATTAATATAGGGGAGGGTAGGCTACATTGAACCGGGTATTTTATAAAGTCCAAGAACTAATAAAATTTTACTAATTTCGATCAGGTTTTTGTATCAAAATTAAGTTGAAGTACTCCTTTAGTTAATACACACGTTACAAACACAAATTATTATGATTAAATAATTAAATTTAATTTTTTTCTAACAAGTCACACTTTTCTTATTTTGAAGGATGTGTGTCTACATTGAACCACCTCTAATAAAACACTACAATTTACTTCAAAAATAATATTTCCACTTACACATTGTGAAAAATCTTATTTTTCACTCAAAAAAATAGAAAATTGTTGTTAAAGAGTTATTATTTGTTAATATAGGAGATTAATATATTTTGATGTCAGGTTAGGTAGGTAAAGTGACAGTTTGAGTTTATTTCGTTCACAATTGTGATGAAAGCATGTCTTCCAGTATTTTGCTTACTAATTAGTAGAGCAGACAATTTTACAACTCTTAAAATTGAAAATTCTTTGCTTTTTTGGGTGGTTCAATGATGCCGCACTCACTGTATTCACATGACATTCACAACAAAAATTGTTTATAATAAATTTGTGTAAGATTTAAAGTTCTTTATCACATCGGAATATTGAAGTTGACACCCTAAGCGAAATAAATCGCAAGTTTACTAATTTTTAAAACTTCCTATTTCAATAAAAAAACGTCATTATAATTCCACCAAATTTTTTGTTTTGTACGTGAAAAACAGTTTTTTTAGTTTTTCTTTGTAAATAATAAACCTACGTGCCCGAAATTTTTGGACATAGTTTGTTTCAGTAAAACTAACTTATATATTAAATAAGAAAAAATTTCACTCAGTCATTTCTCAGAAAATTGAAGTGGTTCACTGTTGACGCTGGTTCAATGTAGCCTACTCTCCCCTAGATAGAATTTTAAAAACTTTCAAATTAAAGTTTTAAAAAAGTAGAATTGTAAAAGATTTTAATTAAAAATTCTGAATAAGTTAGTTTTTTGTAACATTTTTATTCACATTTTTTTTCAAATTAGTTATATTTTTTAATTTAGGTATAATATTTAATTGAAAAACTTTCAAATTATTCAAAATTTCATGAAATTGTCTTCTAAACAAGTGAATTTTAAAAATATTTTAGTTAAAATTTCTAAAAAAATAATTGAATTGAAATTTTAAAATAATTTTTAATAAGTTACAGTAGCAGTTCTTGAAAATTATTCGATTTTAAAGAAGTTGGAAAAATAATGGATAATAATTAAATATTTATTTCAAAAAATCTATTAAAGTTCCAAATGATTTTACAATTAAAGATATTCAAAAAAATGTATTATAAACATATTTCGGAATATCAAATATTTTTAGAGAAAACTAAAATATTTTTAGGGATTGAAAAAAAGTCAAAGTTTTGTCTAAAAATCTGAAACTTCTTTCAATCTTTCATAGAATAATTTATTTTTAGAGTTATTCTTTATGACCGGGAAAAATAATTCATGATCGGGGATGGACCGGGAAATGACAGTGAATTTTTTTTTATGAAAAAAGTGGCCACCCTGAATATTTCTAAAGAATCTAGTTTTACAGTAATTAACCATAATGTTGTGATGTAAACTTTATTTCTTTAAAAATTATTAAAGGAAAGATTGAATTCTCTAGTTTCTACCATCCAAAGATTATTTTCAAACTTTTAGTGTATTCAGAGAAAAAAAACCAAATACAAATTGGTTTTTTAATCAATTTGGCATAGAGAAAGTGTGTTTTTCAATATTTTATTCAATTACAAATAATATTATTTTAAATCACAGCTAAAATTAATCTAAATAATTAAACACCTGTAATAATTCAAATCTTAATCAACTATAATATTATTTTAATTACAGTGAAAAATTTACTTTTCTTATAAATTAAAAAGAATTTACTTTTATTTTGCGTTTACATTTTACAGTAAAATTCAAAATGGTAATTAATTTATTATTATTTATGTTACGAATATAATTATATACAAAAAAATGCATAACACATTAAATGATAAAGATCAGAGAAATTAAAAAAATTGAAACTTTTTTCGATTTATTTTCAAAAATTGAGATTTTTTGACTTTTCTTTCTAATATTGCAACAAAATACCACATTTTTTAGTATAAAATGCAACTTATTTCGATTTTTGTAGTGCAAAAAATAACTATAAAAAATCTTTCAAAAATTATTTTTAGAAAAGCATTTTTTAAAAAAATTAAATTTTTCAAATATATCATTTTTTTAAAATCTTTTTGAATAATTGAAATTTTGTAAAATTTAATTAAAAATAAGTAATTCATTGTTCTCAAGTATTTTATGTTACAATTTTTAAAAATCAACTTTTCAAGAATTTCAATTGCAAATTTTGAAAATAATTGAATTATCAAAAATTTTAATGGAAAATCTTTAAATGTAAAACTTAAGAATAAAAATTTATGAAAATTAGCTTCTAATTTTTTTAAAATTCAATATTTTCAATTAAATATTTTCGGAAATTCAAATACATACAAAAAATTATAACATTTTAGAATTTTAGTTTTTTAAAATTAGGGGAGGGTGGTCCTGACCTCTCGTACCATACCGACCCCCTTGTGTTTCTTAAAGATGGTACCACTAAAAAAATTCGTCAGTACCGTCCGTCGAACACTGTCACAACACCAATAACACAGGCACACAAAAAAAAAAGTGTCGTGGCCGAGACACTACAGTAGTATATTCCCATGTATTTTTGGCCGCTGAATCCGAATCTAAAGTCCGAATGCTCAAATTGGTTCTTTTTTTTGAGTTATACTCAAAAAACGACTCAAAACACGAATTTGAACCAAAAAAATAAAAATTTTTTTTGTGACATGACAATAGCATATTTCCATGTATTTTTTTCCCGCTGAATCCGGATTCGAAGTCAGAATTGATAGATGTGCTCAAAATTATGAGCTAAACCCAAAAAACGACTCAAAAAACCGAATTAAAATGACGAAAATGAAAAATTTTTTCTGTGACATTGCAAAAGTATATTCCTATGTATTTTTTCATGCTGAATCCGAATTCGAAGTCAAAATTGACAGATTTGCTCAAAATTTTGAGATAAACTCAAAAAACCACTCAAAAAAAGACTCAAAAAACCGAATTAAGATGAAAAAAATTTTTTATGACACTACACTACTATATTCCCATGTACTTTTTCCCGCTGAATCCGAATTCGCAGTCAGAATTGACAGATTTGCTCAAAATTTTGAGATAAGCTCAAAGAACTGATAAAAAAAGCGATTTAAAATAAAGAAATGGAAATTTTTTGCTATGACACTACATTACAGTATTTCCATATCGGATCTCGCATTTAAAGTCATAATTGACAGATTTATGACTGATTTGCTCAAAATTTTGAGATATACTCAAAAAACTGATAAAAATGTAATTTAATATGAATAAAGGAAATTTTTTGCTATGACACTACACTAGTGTATTCCCATGTATTTTTTCACTGTGATTCCAAAGTCAGAATTTTCAAAGTGGCTCAAAATTTTGGATTTCATTAAAAGTGCTCAAAAACATGCATGCTTGTACCTGTAACCAGGGTTTGAGTTCTAAAAAATTTTATGTCATTCTGATAATTCTAACTTCGAATTTGTATTCAGCGTATATAAAATTCATGAGAATACACTACCGATAGTGTTGCCGCGATAATGGCGAGAGGCGAGACGAGACGAGAGAACTTTGACTCGAGACGAGACGAGACAGTATTTTTTTAATTATCGCTAAAACGATACAAGACGAGAGAGGTGTCACGAGAGACGAGAATTCTCGACGAGAATTACGAGAATTCTCGATGAGAATTTTTTTTAAATTGCAAAGTTTTATTCTGAAAATATATAGTTACGGTTAACATATATATATAAAATATGATAGATATATGTATACTAAAATCTTTTATTGTTTACGTTGCATTTAATAGTCTTTTTAAACAAAATATAAGAAATTATAAATATTTTATATAAATTATATTTTTTTTATACATAATATTTAGTAAATAAATTCTTTCTTAACTAAAAGTTGAAATTTAATTCATTTTTCAGTGTTTTTTTTAATGAGCAATATTTAACGGAAAAATAAATTTAAAAAAATTGTGAAAAAAAAATTTGGGTTTGGATCATAAATTCAGTTTCTTTGCTTATTTTTAAATATTATTGTGAAAATGGGT